GGGGGAGGGTCAGAGGGAGAAGCAGACTCCCCGCCGAGCAGGGAGCCCGATGCGGGACTCGATCCTGGGACTCCAGGATCATGACCTGAGCCGAAGGCAGTGGCTTAACCAACTGAGCCACCCAGGCGCCCCTCCAACTTTCTTATAATGGGTGTTTGTATGGTATAATCTCTTACTTTTAACCTATTTGTGTTTTTATATTTAAAGTGTATTTTTATAAGTAGCATGTATTAGATGGTGCTTTTTTATTTGTTGTAATCGAACTATAATTAACATAGAGTGTTATATTAGTTTCAGGTGCACAATATAATAATTCAGCACTTCTGAGCTCATCAAAATAAGTGTGCTATTGATCCCCATCACCTATTTCCCCCTCCCCCCACCCACCTCCCATCTGAGAACCACCAGCTTGTTCTCTGTGTTTAAGAATCTGTCTTAACTGTCTTTTTTCTTTTTTTGTTTCTTAAATTCCACACATGAGTGAGATCATATGGTATTTGTCTTTCTCTGACTTATTTCACTTGGCGTTATACTCTCCAGATCCAACCATGTTGTCACAAATGGCAAGATTTCATTCCTTTTTATAGTTGAGTAATATTCTGTTATATGCTTTTTAAAAAAATATCCAGGGCGCCTGGGTGGCTCAGTTGGTTAAGCGACTGCCTTCGGCTCAGGTCATGATCCCAGGGTCCTGGGATCGAGCCCCGCATCGGGCTCTCTGCTCCGCGGCAAGCCTGCTTCTCCCTCTCCCACCCCCCCTGCTTGTGTTCCCTCTCTGGCTGTCTTTCTGTCAAATAAATAAAACCTTTTAAAATAAAAATAAATAAATAAATAAATAAAGTAAAATACAAAGTCTTATATTTTTACCCACATAGTTAGCATTTTTACTGCGCTTGCATCCCTTTGTACACATCCGTGTTTTCATCTGGCATCATTTTCCAGAAGGAAATAGATGCGAATCCTTTACCACTTCTTGTGGTTCAGGTTTGCTAGTCATGGATTTTTTCCAGCTTCTGTGTATTGAAAAAAGTCTTTCTTTTGCCTCCATTTTTGAAAGCTATCTTTGCTAGGTATGGAATTCTAGTTTGACAGGTTTTTTTTTTTTTAATTCTTGAAGTCATTTAAAGATGTTGCTCTATTTTCTTCTTGATTTTGTTGTTTCCACCAAGAAATCTACAGATTTCCTTGTCTCTGTTCCTCTTTATAAAACATGTATTTTGTTTGTTTGTTTGTTTGTGTGGTGGCTGTTTATATGAATTTCTCTTCATCCCTGGTTTTGAGCAGTTTTATTATGATGTGCTTCAGTATGGTTTTCTTCATTTTTTTTCTTGTGGTTGGGGTTGGTTGAGCTTCTTAGACCTGTGGGTTTGTAGTTTTCATTAAATTTGGGGAAATTTGGCCTTCTTTCTTCAGATATTTGTGTCCCTCCCTTTTCCTTCAAGGACTCCACCGACGTGTGTGTGTGTGTGTGTGTGTGTGTGTGTGTGTGTGTGTGTGGCTTCCTGCACTTGCCCCATGGCTCACTCATGCTCTTTTTCATTTTTCCCATCTGTTTTCCTCTGTGTGTTTCATTTCGGATGGTTTCTATTGCTGTATCTTCAAGTTCAGTCATCTTTCTTCCTGCAGTGCCAAGTCTGCCATTAATCCCATGCCGTGCAGTTTTCCTCTCAGACATTATGGTTTTTGTCCCTAAAAGTTTTCTTTGGGTCTCTTTCATATCTTCCATGTCGTTACTTAAATTTTTGATCAAATATTATGCAGATATAATAAATTTAATGTCCTTCCCTGCTAATTCAAACATCTGCAAGTATTCTGACTTGATTTTGACAGGTTGATTTTTCTCATTATATGTCATATTTTCCTGCTTCTTTGTATGCCTGGTGATTTTTCACTGGATTCCAGGCATTGTGAATTTTAGCTTGTTGGGTGCTGGATATTTTTGCATCTTATAAATATTCTTGACCTTTGTTCTGGTACAGTTACTTGAAAACAACTTGTTCCTTTTGGGTATTGCTTTGGGTTTCTTAAGGCAGTACCAGAACAGCTTTTTGTCTAGGGTTAATTATTTCTCATTTCTGAGGTGAAACCCTTCTCATTACTCTACCAGTGTGCCGTGAATTAGGTTTTCCACCCCCAGCTGGTGGGGACAGGCACCGTTCCTGGCCCCTGAGAGCCACAGGCGCCTTTCCCTGATCCTTTCAGATGGATCTTTACTTAGCATTGGCTTGTCTCTTCACACCCACTTCACTGAATCCTTGAGGGGAACTCTGTCCAGATCTCTGGCATTTTTCTCCATGCTGCTGTCTGCTCTGCTGTCCTCTGTCCTGTGGACTCTTGCCACCTTGGTCTCCCCAGGCACTAGGCTCCTCTCAGCTAAGGAGTCTGCTGGTCCCTACCCCTGCGCCGTGGTCTGGAAACTCTCCCAAGGTGGTAGTGTATTTTCTACCTCTCAGAAAGATGTTTTTTGACTGATGCCTAGGGTTTTACCAACCACTGTTTCCTATATTTTGCCTGTGTCTTTTCATTGTTTGGGATGGGAGGGAGATCTAGCTCCTGCTATTGCTCCGTCTTGTTTGGAAGCAGAAGTTCAACTTTTTGGCTTTTTTTTTTTTTTTTAACTTAGTGCTATTTCCTAGATGGGCAGGGGATGTACTATTTTGACTCTTAGTTTGTGACAACACACAAAGCTGAAAAAATTCACACAGAGAAGGTATTTTCTGAAGTGAGCTCCAGATACTAAATGGCCAATTGAATTTACCTGAGAAATGTTCCTTCTGGAGCAATTAATAAACTTTTCCATCCTGTTTTGTTTTTACAGATTTTATTGTTAACGGAATCACTTCTTAGTGGAGGGAGGAGCAAACAGTGGGGTCTAAATGGCCGGGATCAAATTGTGCCCTCAGAACCTCTTCTTCCTCTCATGGGCCACTTCCCTCTGGACTTCACAGCCCTGCCTCACTGTCGCAAAGGCTGTGTGGCCCCCACTGCCTCAGGGCATTCTGCTTTCATGAGTCCCAGTTGGCAGACACGTGGCTCCTAGGCATGATGGCGCCGTGAGCATCCTTGTAACATGCCTCCCAGTGCACCTTCCCATAGGGCAGGATCTCTGGGATGGACCTGCCCCCTGGGGTGTGCAGGGCTTAGCCAGTGTCGGCTGTGGGGGCTTCACCCTGAACCCCTCGTCACCTGTGAGGACTTTGCGATTCTCTGCCCCTTGCAGTGAAGGGGCACGCCAGGCCGACGCAGAGAGACATTTCAGGAAGGCTTTCAAAAAGTGGCCCCATGGGGAGGGGATTTTAGGGTGTCATGGCGACACTTGAGGCTGCTCATGAGGTGGTGCCCATAGCCGCCTTCTGTTTTCCTTCACTAGATTCAGACAAAGACTGTAGCCCAGTGTGTTGAGTATTATTACATCTGGAAAAAAATGATCAAGTTTGACTGTGGCCGAGCCCCAGGACTGGAAAAGAGGGTCAAGAGAGAGCCAGATGAGGCAGACAGGACAGAAGCAAAGGTAGAAGGTCCGGGGGAAGGTGGAGCTGGAGTTCGGCCCAGATCGGGATGGCACTGCCCATCCAAGTCAGGGAAGGGGGAAGGGCTTCCCTGCCCAGCCTAGAGGCTCCCTGAGAAGGGTGGAGGGTTGGCACCCTTCCATCGTCATTTCTGTCCCTCTGCAGGTCATTTGCAGCCCTCGGGAGAGACCCAGCCACCGTCCCACTCCTGAGTTCAAGATAAAGACCAAGAGTTACAGGAGGGAGTCCATTCTCAACTCCAGCCCAAATGCCGGCCCCAAGCGGACCCCTGAGCCACCGGGGAGTGTGGAGGGCCAGGGTGTCTTTCCCTGCAGAGAGTGTGAGAGGTATCATTCCTGTCCCTGGATGTGCCCACACCACCTCCCCTCGGCCCCCCTGGCGGCCCTTGGGCGACCCGCCTTCCCCCTGCTCTGACTTGTGTCCTTTGGTGACTTCTCAGGGTGTTCGACAAAATCAAGAGTCGAAATGCCCACATGAAGCGCCACCGGCTTCAGGACCATGTGGAGCCCATCGTCAGGGTGAAGTGGCCTGTGAAGCCCTTCCAGCTGAAGGAGGAAGAAGAGGAGGAGGAGGAGATAGGGGCTGACATCGGCCCCCTGCAGTGGTGATTGGGGTGGGGTGGGGGGAACTGGGGCAAGGCAGCCAGTCTGGATGGGGGCCTCCAGCCTCGTCACCTTTCCCCTCGGCCTCTCCAGTGGGTTTGGGGTACCCCTCTGCCTCTTCCCCACCCTTACGTTCCCTCACTTGCCAGCCTGGCGTGGAAACATGGTGGGCATTCAGCCATAAATAGGCAGGAGGAGCCCCCAGTCGTCAGACCACTGTTGGCTGGTGCCAGAGGCTCCAGTCTCCTTAGGTTTTAATTAGTCTCTCCCCTTCTTTCAGTTCCACTCCTCCTAGAGCAGGGAGGCTTGGGCGGGGGGGATGAGGTAGATCTGGGTAGCGCTAAAATCTTCACCTCAGTTTTGGGGTTTGGTTACATTTGTTAGATAAGGCCAAGACGTAGAGAATCAGTGGGAAGATACCTTCAGATCTCCAACATGTTGGGGCCCCCTCACCAGGGGAGTCTGTCTGCATTCCAGATTCAGTCCCTAGTCTTGCAATGACTTGTACATTGTTAGGTTTTTTTGTACGTGTCGACTTGTAAATCTTATTAAATTGGGTTCTTGAGCAGCTGTCTTCTGGCTTCCCCGGCCTATTGATCTGACAAAGGCTTTTGAGCCCCTGCTACTTGATGGAGCCACAGAGATGGGTAAGCTGAGTCCCGGCCCCGGAGGACAGGAACCGGGGGCCTCGTACGCTCACCCAGCCAGCATTTAGTAAGCACCTACCTTAGAGCATAAGCCCAACTGACGGCCCCCAGTCTGTGCAATGGGGCTACAGTGATGCAGGAGGAAAAAGGCCCCTCTCCTTGTGGGGCTTCCATTGTCAGAGTGAGAGAGTCGCGGTGATGAATGAGTGAAAAGATGATTTGAGATACTGATCGTGGGGATGCTCGCGGCCACGGGAGCAGGGGAGGCAGCACAGGCTGCAGGGGTCAGGATGCGTGGTGGCTCCCGTGGCTCAGCTGTGAGGTCAGGCGCGCCCACAGGGGCCAGCCTCAGCCTGTCGGCTGCCGCAGCAGCAAAAATCACCTCTTCCTCTGCCAACACCCAGACCTTCGGAGGCTGTGGGGAAGAGAAAGCGTCCCTCCCTCTTGTCCCTTTGGAAGAGCCAGGAGAGCTTGTAGCAGCCCCTCGCAGGATGCCCCCCCTGTCCCACTGGCAAAACCCATGCTCTTTCTCCACTGATCCCCGACAGCTGGAAGGAAAATGGCCACGGTTTTCCTGGACACTCAGGCTGTGTCGCCAGGAACCGGGGGAAACCAGTGTGATCCCTCAAGTTTGTTGCCACTGGCTCAAAACTGGAATTCTGTTTGCCAGGAAAAGAAGAGGACGCGGAGAGGGCTACCGGGCAGGGAGACGGTGTGTCCACCACAGGGTGACATAAAGAAAATAAAGCGGGAGGCCAAGTCCTGGGCAGTGTCTGGGGCATGGCACACAGTGGCCCGCCAGGGAAGGCCACACCGAGGAGGCTGCTGGGGCCAAGGTCTGGATGGCTAGTGGAGGGTGGTCCAAGAGCCTCCACCTGCTCTGTGGAGCTTGTAGGAGGCAAGATGGCAAACACAGTAGGCATAGTGGTAAGAAGGTGAGACGGCCTGGTCTGAGGAGGGACAGAAACTCGGGGAGTAGGGAAGCATCTTAGGGGTAGACTCAGCCTTGCTGGTGGGTCCCCTCCCAGGGAGAGGTGGTAAGGGAAAGGACAGGTCAGGGCCGGCATGACAGCTTTGGGGCTCGGCACCTGAGTAGATGTCAGTGAATCAGATGGGGAAGAGCGGGGATACCTCAGAAGACTGATCGCCTCGAGGTGCGATTGTGTCTGTCATAGTGGGTGCTGCGTTCTAAGGGACTGTGGGGTGGGGGGGGGAGCAGGGCAGAGCGTGGTGTCAGGAGCCATCCCAGGGGGGCCGTGTTGTGGCTAAATAAATCTTAAAGCCGGGGCAGGAGGGGGAGCAGAGGAGCAAGTTGAGTTTGAAGGACTTAGGACCCTTGTGGTTAAGGGAAAGGGCTCAGGCTCAGGTCTCCTAGGAGCCGGAATTTACAGCCCAACTCTTCTTTCTTTGTGATCTTGGGCAAGTCACCTTCCCTGTTTCAGCCTCTGTGTTCTCAGTCTGTGAAACGGGATGGGAAGTGCCTTCCCCCACGTCCAGGTTCAATGAAAAGACATAAATGACCGTTTGGCAGGGTGCACCGCAGGAACAGAGCCATTGCCATTAAATGGGTCCTCCTGCTCTTGTTGTTTGGGTCCCGCCCTGAATGACAAGCTCAGCTGCTGGAAATGAAAGACCTTGACTTAAAGGGCGGGTGGTATGTTAGTTCTCTAGTGCTGCATAACAAATCGTCCTGAAATTTAACAGCGTTAAACAAGCTGGAGCTTTTATAAATAGCACCACTCGGCTGGACAGGGAACTGAAACTGCTTGTGGTAATCCAGACTCTCCCCACCACCCCCACCTGATCTGCGGTCAAAATACAGTGGCCACCACAAGAAGAAGGTGGTCCAAGAGAGTCTCTGAATGTCACAGCAAACGTTTCTTGTGAATTACTCCCCCTCAGCTAAGCCCCATCCTCACCCCCAAATAACAGCTTTTTCTCACCCAGTGGTCCCTGGGTTATCTGCATCTGAATCATCTGGGAGTCCTGTAAGAAAATGTATATTCCTGTATCCTGCCACCGACTTTCATAATTGGAATCGTTGGGGGTAGGGCCCTGGAACTTGAATTTTTTTAAAGAAGATTTCATAGTAGAATCGTTTTTAGATTTTTCAGAAAGATTGTGAAAATGGTACTGAGAATTCCCATATACCCCACACCTGGTTCCCCCTAATACTTCTTTTAAAGATTTATTTATTTGAGAGAGAGAGAACTCGAGTGGGGGGAGGGACAGAGGGAGAGAGAGAACTCTTCATGAAGACTCCCCACTGAGTGCTGAGCCCAACTGAGATCATGACCTGAGCTGAAACCAAAAGTCAAGACACTTAACCAACTGAGCCACCCCTCCCCGTATTAATATCTTAGATGAGTATGGTACATCTGTTACGATTACGGAACCAATATTGACACATTATTATTGACTAAAGTCCATACTTTATTCACATTTCCTTAGTTTTTACCTAACATTCATCTGTTTCAGGATCCCACTCAGGACACCAAATTACATTTAGTGGGCATGTCTCCATAGGCTCCTCTTGGCTGGGACAGTGTCTCCAGCTTTCCTTGTTTTTAATGATTTGACAGTGTTGAGACCTGGTTAAGTGTTTCGGAGAATATGCCTCAACTGGGGTTTGTCTGATGTTTGTGATTAGATGGGGAGAGGGTGGTGTCAAGAGCCATCCTTCACAGAAGTGACGTGCCATTCACATCACATTATTGAGAGCACTTTCTATCAATGTGATTCACCACTGTTGATGTTAACCTCAGTCACCTGGCTGAGACTGTCAGGTTTCTCCACTGGAAGCAGTTTCCCCCGTCCCTTTCCCATACCACACTCTGGAGGGAAGTCTCTGGGTGGTCCACACTGAGGAGTGAGGAGTTACGCTCCACCTTCTGGAGGGAGGAGTCTACATGAACTATTCAGAACTCTTCTGCATGAAGTATTTGTCTATCTTCCCCGTTTGTTTGTTCAGTCATTCCCTTAACACCAGCATGGGCTCAGGGATATTTTATACACTGGATTATAATCCAGTACTAGTTTATTGTGTTGCTCAAAATGTTCCAGCTTTGGCTACTGGGAGCTCTTTCAGTTGGCTCCTGTGTCTCTTTGACATACCCTACCATTTGATACAAACACACACTACACTCACTCTCCACCCCCCCCCCCTTTTGGCACTACAAGATCCTTCAGGCTCATCCTGTGTAATTTCCTGCCCGAGCCTCAAAGCAGCCATTTATCAAGGAGTCCTGGTTCCTTTTATTGGAGAATGGTATTAAAAACAAAGATCTGGGCTCTGAGTGAATTTTTGACACGCTCTCTCCAGCTTTTGTTTTTGTTTGTTTTTATTAATGAATCCAGAGAGAGCCCTCGCTCAGTTTTCTTTCCCCGTCTACGGACTTTACCGGCCTTCCCAAACCAGTTCCAGTATCCGTCAGCAGAGGGCGCAAGACAAGGCAGAACGCTTTCCTCACCGCTTACGGCTCTCCTAGTAAAGAACGCGCGAGTTACGGAGCGGAGGCGGGGACTGAGCTGTGCGCAGGACACCTGTCAAACCCGGAGGAGGGCGGGGCGTATCTTCCGGCCGGGGCCGGGAGCTGTCATGTGAGGGTCAATGGTCAGCTGACTGGGGCGCAAGTTCCGCGGGGAGGTACGGGCTGAGACGGGGGATCCTGCTGACTGGTGGAGCAGAAGCCCCACCTCGGGACGGGTCTTTGATGGTAGGGACTACGATTGGCTTATGCGAATCACGTGGAGTGCCGTAGAGCGCACCAGGAAGAGTGGAGTGTCCTACGCGGAAGTATGCGCAAGCGTTGAAACATCGCGTCGCCGATTGGCGGCCGTGAGTCACGGGGCGGGGTGCGGCGGCTGGCGGGGGTGTGGCCGGCAGGGCGCGCACCTCCCTACCAGATCGCTGGTTGGCCGGCGCACGTCACATGGTGCCGGGCAGCGGGGTGGGGGGGTGCGTACCGGTGCGACGTCAACGCAGCCCTGTGAGCTCCCCCGACCTGTCTACCGCGGCCGGGCCTCTGCTGAGTCCCCCGCGGGCCCGGGTCGGGCGGTTTGCTGAGTACCTTTGCGGCCGCCATGGACAACTCCGGGAAAGAAGCGGAGGCGATGGCACTGCTGGCCGAGGCGGAGCGCAAAGTGAAGAACTCGCAGTCCTTCTTCTCGGGCCTCTTTGGGTGAGAACCACGCCGAGGGGTGGGCTGGGACCTACACTGAGAGGACGAAGGAGTCATGGCCTGAAGCGGCGGGGCGGAGTCGCACGGCTCGAGCCTAGAGAACGGAGGGGATACCGGGAGGAGGTGCCGTGGTCTACAGTAGCGGAGAGGGACCCAGGCTAAGGGCAGGGGGCCCGGGCAATGGCAACACGGTTGGAGGGGAGATGGTCTGAGGTGTTGGGAGGGCCCTGGGCTGAGGGCACCCAAACCGAGGCCGCACCGTCTTGAGGCGGTAAGGGGACCCAAGCTGAAGGTGGGCCAAGAGGCCGGAGGAGAACCTGGGCCGAGGCAGCACGGTCTGAGGCCCTGAAGGGGAATGGAGTGGGAGAGCAGCCAGGTCAGAGAGTCTTTTGGAGTTCTAAGAGAACCTATCTGAAGGATCCCTGATGGGCACGGCGGGGCCTGGGACCGAGGACACCTGCCCAGCGGATTGACCTTTCCAAGGCGAACCGCAGTGGATTTGCATGAGCTTTGGGCGATGGGGCTGAGGGAGTCAGGGCTAAGGTGATCCTGGGAGTGATGAGCCCAGGTCTGAGGTGTGTGAGGGTGCCTGAGAGAAGGCTGCATGAACTGGAGAAAGAACCTTGGACTTGAGGTGCTGGAGAGCATTGAGGATTTTAAATGGGAGCCGTCTTAGTTTGTCTGGGTCGCTATGACAAAGTACCCTAGAACGGGTGGCTTATAAACATCAGAA